GATTAAAGAGTGGTAACCAGGTTATGTATTCAGATTAAAGCGTGGTGATCAGGTCATAGTCATTAGATTATAGCATGATATTTAGGTTATAGTGTGATATTTAGATTTTAGTGTAACATTTAGATTATAGTGTGGTATTTAGATTATAATGTGATATCTAGATTATAACGTGGTATTCAGACTATAGCATAGTATTTAGATTATAGCATGATACTATAACCTAGTCAAAGTAGGATATCACGCTTTAATATAATTATATTAAAGCGTGGTATCCCACTAATTATATTTAATAATAATAATATTTTTAAATTTTTAAAAAAATAACAGATTATGTAATAATTATATAAAAATAAAATTTTATTGGACTCATCTTATTAGGACTTATTAAATGATAGTATTTTTATATTTTTGAGATCAATTAATAATAAGATATATGAATTTAAATTTTTAATTTTTTTTAATAATAATTATCATTTATTTACTTTAAAAATCACTAGTTAATTACATTTTTTTTTAATTTTTACTTAGAAATATTTTGCGCATTCTGCATAAAATACACCTATACATATTTTTTTTATTCATGTATAGTAAATTATTAAATATGAATTTTACTTGAGTATGTAATATGCATCTCATGCGTAATTTTTTTGATACGCAGTCTATATGATCATATGCACAATTATTTATTAGACTTTTAAATAAATCTATTATTTAATCAATTATACTCACGCTACTTTTCTTTCTACCTTTCTTCTTTTTTTCCCATTTTTTTATAAATTTTATTGTTAAATAATCTTAAAATGAGTGATTCAGAATCACTTTCAAGTGATAATTCAGATAATGAAAATTTTCTTAACGATTTTATCAAGAATATTTCAGATGATAGTGAAAGTGAAGATAAAGATAATGATGACTTATCTTATAATATAAATATTTCATCTTTGACATTAGAAGTTAGATTATTTTTTCTTATTTAGAAGGTTATCTTTAAATATATTAAACTCTGGGCTCATAAACAAGATTCTTTTTATTTGTAAAAGAAGATCTGATAAAGTAAAATCCAAATAAAAAACAGATAATTATATGTTATTATGAAGGTGTTTACAATAACAAATCAAAAAAAATCATCAAAATCTTATCAAACAGGTTATAAGTGATATACTAATCTTTTCTAGCCTATTAAAAACAATCCAAATAGTATAATTTTTATTATTACAATTTTTAATAAATACTTTGGTCATAATTTAGATTTTTTACATGCTATTTTGAGATAGCTAAAGCTTTTACAAAACTAATGTTAAAGGATATTAAATGGATGTTTGTACATGATTATCTAAAATTATTAGTAATTAAATGTATATTAAAAGTTAAATATAAAAGAAAAGTTTATAATCAAGATCTTTATTGAGTTATCTATAAGTATAATCATGATAATGATACACAAAATAATAATATTTCATAAGTTTTTGAATATCTTAAAAACTGAAAAAATGATGATTCACATTGGGTAGTTTATAAGGATTAGGATTATAAACTAATACACTAACTAAACTCTTTTAGATGAGTCCTAACTAATTGAAAACTTAGTGCTAATATAGTGATATTATTCTTAATAATAATACCTTAAAAATAAATCATTACAAAATAGTACTTTTCTTTTTTGTAACAATTGATAATAACATAAAATCACGAACTATTACTTAAGCATTAATAGATTGAGAGACTAAAAATACATATTTATAGATTTTATAATACACTATAGAAGCAACAGGACTAATACTAAGAGTATTTGTAACAGATACAGATCCTAGCATGGATACTGCAATTCAATTAAAATATTCTTCTATATTTGTAATACATTGTATTTGACACATTAGTCAAAATTTACCATTGTGTTTTAGGTCAAAACTTGATAGATTATTTGACTAATTTAAGAATAAATTTTATGAATATCAAACTAGTTTAGAACTAGAAGTATTTGAACTATATTAGACAAATTTGCTTACTAATTATCCAACTGCTATAAGTTATCTTGAAAGAATACTTTATTCATCTAAAACTTCTTGAACATATGCATTTAGTATTAATATTTTTACATTAGAAAACAACATTACAAAGTGAATCTATTAATGCCACTTTTAAATGACTATTATATAATTCTAATAGTACATTAGTAGATATTTTTCTTACAGTTGAAAAATGTTTAAAGGAAGAGCAAGATAATAATAATTATAAAAATTGGCATAATACACTTTTAACTACTCAATCTACTACAATTTTTTTAAATGCATTTATAAATGTAATTAATGAACTTAAGAAATTTACTATATTACGAATTTAAAAAATTCATTATAGTGAAATAGAATTAGCATTTAATTATGATGCAAAGCTTTTAAATCAATCCTATATTAATAATGAAATACTCAGATATAGTATTTAAAAAAGTTGTTTCTTTTATTTGAGATATGTATAATTGTTAACATTATTTTTCAATTATTTAGAACTGGTCATTTTCTATAGATTTTATTGAAAAATAAAAAATAAGACAAATTACTTTCAAACGACTTTTATCATCATATGATGAAATAACCATTAAAAATATTTAAAAAGTTGCTTATTTAACTTCTTCTAAAATAAATCATATGGTTATTTTATTAAATAATAGAACATACAAATATATATATATGTTATTAGTAAATCGTGAAATTATCTGCAAATATTACTTTAATGTAATGTTACAAACTTTGTTAATATTGATAAAATTTTCTAAAGGTCCTTTGAATCTAATAGTATCTAATAGTCTTTCTTTTAGATAT